CGTGGCCAGCGTGATGGGCCGCCTGTCCTTCTTCGGGGGTGGCTACTGCCTCTCCAAATTCGGCGTGGAGGCCTTTTCCGACAGCCTCAGGTAAGTCTGGTACAACAGCACCCTCCTGATTTCCCAATTTGTTTTTTCCGGACTTTTTCTGGCGCGGGGAAATGCGCAAAGCCCCRTYCTCGAGCACGGGTCGAACTCGTTCCTGCTGCCCGAGTGTGAACAGCTCACTTGTTGGAATTTCGGAACTTGCCCCCGTCCAAAATCCTGCGGGGCACTGCCCTGCCGGCCCAAACTTTGCTCCGTCCCCAGCTCATCCAGATGTGGCAGATGTTTGTTTGTTGGCACACGGTCTCAGCCGCGTGCCGGGCTGGTGCAGAGTCCACTGGCGTGGTCAAGCTCCACTCCACGCCTCTGGCACGAGGCTGCATCTCCAGTCTGCATCTCCCATGGGACTCTCGATCCTTTCCAGGCTSGAGATGCGCAATTTCGGCGTGAAGGTCTCTGTGATCGAGCCGGGCTACTTCAAAACCATGATCACCAACGTGGAGAACTTGGAGAAGAATTTTCTTTCCGTGTGGGAGAAGCTTCCAGAGGAAATCAAAACGAGCTATGGGGAGAATTACTTGAAGCAGGGTGAGTGCCTCCCCCAAAGGCTGAGCGATGCTGTTTTTCTCCCCACACAAAGCACATCCCCGGGGCCACGGGGGTCTTGTGGGGGTCCCACTGCCCCAGCACCCCGTGGATCCACTCAGCTCTGCTCAGTTCCATGGTCTGAGTGGTTTTTTTTTTATGCTTCCACAGTTGGGTCAGCTGTCCAGCTGCTGCAGAAAAGCTACAACCCCGACCTGTCGCTGGTCACCAACTGCATGGAGCACGCGCTGACCAGCGTCCACCCCCGCGTCCGCTACTCGGCCGGCTGGGACGCCAAACTGCTCTACATCCCCCTCAGCTACCTGCCCTCGGCCTTCAGCGACGCCCTGTTCAGCTTGTCCTACCCCAAATCCGTCGGGAAAGTCTGAGGTGGGGATTTGGGCAGCCAGGACCGGGCGGTGCAAGAGTGGGATCCGCTGGTGGAAGGTGGGATCCGGCATCAGCTGAATTTGTAACTCCGTGTACGTCTCAACCTCTGTCCGCTGCTCACAGAGGGGTTTATCCTCAATAAAGCCACCCCGTTCTCTCGTGGCAGAGTGAGGTGTCACTCCTCGGGCTGTGCCGTGGGGTGTCCTGGAGGCTCTGAGCACCCAACCCCTGCCGAATTGCCGGGGGACTTTGCCAAACCGGCACCCCGGGGATTAACACACGCGGAAATAAAACTCAGACCTGTTCCAACATGAGCAGATTTCCCTCTGGGCAAAAGCYTCTTAGAGAATCTTCCTCCTCTGCTTCCTCCTCCTCCTCCTCCTGCAGAGCTGGTTGGTGCTGTCCCCCTCCATCACCGCATTTGGGGACACTGTCCCGCACCAAAGCAGGGCGAGAGGGAAATGTCCGGGCTTGGTGCTGCTGACGGTGTCCG